TTATGGGTAAGGTTAACGTTTTTGCGGACAAACAGACAAACAGACAGACAGAGAGACAGACAGACAGACAGACACGACAAAAACTATATACCCCTGAAACTTCGTTTACGGGGGCATAAAAAAAGAGGCCCGGGAGCCACATCGCTCTTGGACCTCTTTTTCCAGTTTCAGTCTAATTTATTTTGTATAATTTATAATTTATATACCTGATCAACTGGCTAAGTAAAAGCAAAATATCGGTATTGAAAAGTTTAAATATAAATCTGGGTTGGGGGGTATTTGGACAGAAAATATAAATCTACACTTCCTAAGGATGCTTTTGAATTAAAATGACACATAATAGCTTTGTTGTTTATAAAATGAACAAGATGTGTTTGTGAAACACTATGCGCCCGGCGGCAACAAATTTAAAAAAATATATATTTTTAGCATAAAGGTCACATTGAAGGTCACAAGGTCATTGATCTTGGTGTCATTTGAAAGAGCTTGATTAGTGAAGTATGCATATCAAATATCAAGTCTCTATCTTTCATGGTTCAAAAGTTATGGTGAAGGTTCAAAAAAGCTATTTTTAGCATATAAGACACAGTCAAGGTCACAAGGTCATTGTGCTTGATGTCATGTAGAAGGGCTTCATTAGTGGAGTATGCATGCCAAATATGAAGTCTCTATCTTTCTTCGTTCAAAAGTTATGGCGAAGGTTAAAGTTTGCCGTCAGAAAAGCTATATTTAGCGTATAGGCCACAGTCAAGTTCACAAGGTCATTGACCATGGTGTCTTTTAAAAAAGCTTAATAAGTGTTGTATGTATACCAAATATGAAGCCTCTATCTTTTATGGTTCAAAAGTTATGGCAAAGGTTGAAGTTTGCAAAAAAAAAAACTCTATTTTTAGCATATAGGTCACAGTCAAGGTCACAAGGTCATTGACCTTGGTGTCATTTGATAGAGCTTCATTAGTGGAGTAGGCATACCAAATATGAAGTCTCTATCATTCATGGTTCAAAAGTTATGGCGAAGGTTAAAGTTTGCAGACAAACAGACAGACAGACAGGACAAAAATAATATAACAATCTTTCGACCCGGGTGCATAAAAATTAAAATGATATGGCTTTAATATTCCTGAGTTATGATCCACTCTAATCGCTCCTCTATTCTTTTAATTGGCCATGGTTTGAACAAGTTAAAATATACATTACCCTTTCTGATGCTTTTATGTTGATGATCAATCATGGCTTTGTTGTGCTTGTAAAGAATTTTAACTATTTTCCCCCATGCATTCCTACGTAAAATCTTGTTGACCCATTGTGGCTCCATTCTACTCCTGGGGGTCATGATTTGAACAAACTTGAATTACACTACCTTCTTTAATGCTTCCATATACTAGTAACTACATGTATGACCAATCATGGTTTTGCTGTTCTTGAGAAGAAGAATTTAAAAAAAAAATATCTATGCAATCCTACTTTGATCACTCATCATGGTCCCACCCTCGTCCAAGGGGTCATGAATTGAACAAACTTGCAATTTAATCTACACTATCAGAGAATGCTTCCATATACATGTAACTATGGCCAATTATGGCTTTGCTGTTCTTGGGGAGAAGATTTTTAAAGACTTTTTCTATGTGTTCTTTTGTAAAATTTGATTCCTCAATGTGCCCTCATCCTTCCCCCGGGGGTCATGATTTGAACAAACTTGAATTTACACTACATGAGAATGCTTCCACATGAGTTTCATCTTTTCTGGCCCAGTGGTTCTTGAGAAGATTTTTCCAATGTATTCCTATGTTAAACTTTAATTTTCCAATGTGACCCCACCCTTATCCCGAAGGTCATGATTTGAACGAAGTCCATTCTACACTATACCTCAGAATGATTGCACATAAGTTTCATATATTTTCAAACACAAAGGTTCTTGAAAATTAAATGATGTCACCATTTTTTTCACAAATTCATAATTAATTTCCCTTAGATGAAGGCGTCCCCTTTATTTGAACAAAATTGAATCCCCTTAACCCATTGGATACTTGTTTGGTTTGGTTAAGTTTGGTTGAAATTGGTCTTTTGGTTGTTGACAATAATAAGATGAAAATGTGAAAAGTTAACGACGACAGACAACGGACAAATTTGTTTACTAGTATTTCCTCTCAGACCATACAGTGGTATATGATTTACATATATACAAAATACAAAGTCAAGTAAGGAAGAATAGTGTCAAATAAGAAAATAGTTACTGAAAGCAGGCCAATATCTTTTTAGCAAACATTAAGGCAGTTTTAGCAACGAGTCAACATTTGTGATGGACATAATTTTCTCAAACTTATAAGTATTTATATGGAACGCCATCACTGCCTTATAGCATACAACTATGCATTTATTGTGTCAATTTATCATTACGTGATGTGAACATATCTTTACGTTATATCCATTTTTTATGAGATGATTCGATGTAAATATATCCTAACATCATGTCAATGCTGCATTACATGAAGTAAATACATCCTTTCATTATGTCAGCACTTCATAACTTGAAGTAAAAAATTCATTATGTGAAGTGATAATGTGTTTACATTGTGTTAAAACTTTATTGCATGAAATGAATCTTTCTTTACATCATTTCATTTCTTTAATATGTGAGGTCAAAATTGCATTACGTCGAGTAAATTGTGTTTTATAATTAAACTTATCATTACATGAAGTCAAAAGCCCATTCCTTTTTGAGAGTGTATATTTCTATTATATCAAAGCATTATAACGTGATATTGATTTATCTTTATTTTTCTGCGAGGGCGTCATGATGTGAGGTGAACACATCTTACCTTTATGTCAGTGCTTTATTACGTGGTGTAAAAAGTGTATAACATAATGTGAACATATCGTTATATTATATCAATACTTTATTACATTATGTCAAAACTCCATTCCGTGATGTGGATATATAATAACGTTATGTCAACTCTTTCTTATGTGATTTAAAAATATCTTTATATTGTGTTAACTCTTTATCATGTTGATTCCAAAAGTTCATTACCTGATGTTAAAAAACATTTACATTATCTCAAACTGTACATCTAGTATATAATGAATGTTGACGACCGTGTTTTAATGACTGGTAAGAAGGGGGGGGTCCTGATTGATTAGGACGAATTACAGGCACATAATATCAACCCCCCTCTTTTCCCAGACATAACTTTACTATAGAAAATGTAATGTTCATTGAAACTATACAGCCCCCCACCCCTACTTTTTGTTGAAGTATAATCCACTAAGGGTAATGTAATATATCTGGAAAAAAATAGGACGGATCGAATTTGGAACCCTCTCCCCGAAATGGGATTTTCGGGCTTGGACTTTTTTTCTTGGCTTGTCAAGTTTTTTCGGGTAAATGATTTTTTTTTCTGGCTGACCTCCTCTTTCAAAATAAGATGCTACGTCATTGGAGTTGGTAATTTTTTTTTTAATCATTCCAGGGCCAGAATTCTATTACAAAAATCTACCAGTCGCTCATCTAAATCAATTGAATATGCCTTAGTAAGCATGCATGGACACATATCAGTGGCAGATAAGGGAATCTTGAACAAGGAAGGGGTACGGTATATGGTTGGAGCCCAAGAGCGGAAAGCGGAGAAGCTCTCAGGCTTTATAGTTTTATAGAAAAAACTTTTCAACTTAATTCAGCTAAGCTTATTCTGAAACTAATGCAATGTCCTTCAAAGTTTAAGAATTTTATTTTTTTAAAAAAATCAAAATAAAAAGAAAAAAATGATTGCTGCACAACTCATAATATTTGATTTATTTAATTATGAGATTAAAATAAACACCATTGAATTTCGACGTGACTTTAATTCACAGTCGCAGTGTTAAGGCTTTGCACGTTTCAAGATTGTCAATCATTTGTGGCTTAAAGTTTTCATTTAAAGATGTCATTCCCAAATTGCTGAGAATCTCTTCTACGACAGTTTTCTCTCCGCCATTTTTAGTGCTTGCGGAACGCGGAAAATACGTTATGCTCATATAAAGGCCGAGGATACCCGTGTTCGCATAACGTAATAGTGAATCGACATAATATAGAAGAGTGCGCACAGTATGGCATGAGCTTTTCACATCAGTTAATAAAAACTAAGATCTCAAGAAAAGTAAACATAACGAAATGCAAGTTGACGAAATATAATTGTAGTAATGCAAAAGTAGTGTGAATAAATGTCATAAAGAGTTGACTTAATGTAATGAAAGATTGACACAATGCAATAATAAGTGGTGTGGGTTAATGTCATAAAGAGTTGACATAATGTAATGGAAGATTGACACAATGCAAAAGTAGTGTGAGTAAATGTCATAAAGAGTTGACATTATGTAATGGAAGATTTACAAAATGCAATAGCAGTGTGGGTTAATGTCATAAAGAGTTGACATAATGTAATGGAAGGTTGACGCAATGCAATTGTTGTGTGAGTAAATGTCATAATGAGTTGACATAATGTAATGGAAGGTTGACGCAATGCAATTGTTTTGATCTCTATAAGGCAGTGACGGCGTTCCATAAATACCCCCTGGGGGTAGGATGGGACCACTTGTAATAATTGATGATTCTTATATGTTGTGTAATTGTGTTTGTGCCAATAAATGTTTGTATTTGTATATATGTAAACTTTTCATCTATAAACTGCATGCTTTTCTCTAGCCCAAATAGTGACAAGGTGAATGATATGGCCAATGGGCCTTTAATTTGTCTTTAAGTGGAAAAAGGATCTGTAAAAATACTCTTATCTTCTACCGTTTATCCTAGCATTATATTTATAGATACATATACTAGTATTTGTATAAGTGCAATATGGAGGCTTATCCAAAAAAAATCCAGCATGAAATTTAGGTAAACTAAAATGTTTTCCATAATTATAAATATTCATACAAGTAATTTTTTACCAAATAATATAGCAATTTCATTTTGTTCAAATGAATGACAAAATGCAATTTATTCTTGGAATGACCTTGTAGGTTTTTGGGAGTGATGCCAGCTTATAGTCCAGATGATGAAGCTTTGGCTGTTAAATTGGTCACCTTTTTCCCACAGAATATTGGAGTACCAACTCATAATGCCATCATACCTGTGTTCAATGCAAAGACAGGAATTCCAGAAATAGTTAAGCGATAAGGAAGCTTCATGGACCTACTGTAAATGTGGCATCAATGATGAAGGAGGATGAAGTTTTTGTCATTAATTACTATTCAGAAAATATTCATAAATATTCATTTAAAAAGCAACTTCAATGTACATGTATAGAAAAATCTGTGTTATTTTCTTCATCTTTGCAAATTTTATCTTTTACAAAAAAAATAGATAATGGATGGTGAAGTGATTACTACAATGAGAACAGCTGCTGTCTCAGCAATAGCTACAAAGGTAATATGTTTTTCTAAAAAATAATCTGATTTATACATGTCTATCACATAAATATTGCAATTAACCTAAATGCTTGTCTCTCTGCTAGCTCTGTGCATTCTAGACAGTTTTAAAGAGCTGTTCTATTTCATATAGAACATTAATTTTAAATAAATTTTACTTTAATGCTTCAAAGGATTATTGAAGATATACACTAGATATGAAATGGCTGGCTTTGACATTGGCACAATTCTTTTTCTTTTTTTCTATATAGCTGATTTGTTTTTAGCTCACCTGAGCCGAAGGCTCAAGTGAGCTTTTCTGATCACATTTTGTCCGTCGTCCGTCCGTCTGTCCGTCTGTAAACTTTTCACATTTTCGACTTCTTCTCAAGAACCACTGGGCCAATTTTGACCAAACTTGGTACAAAGCATCCTTGGGTAAAGGGGAATTCAAATTTAAAAAATGAAGGGACATATCCCCTCGCAAGGGGAGATAATCAAGAAAAGACAAAAATAGGGTGGGGTCATTAAAAAATCTTCTTCTCAAGAACCACTGGGCCAGTAAAGCTGAAACTTATGTGGAAGCATCCTGGGGTAGTGTAGATTCTAAATTGTTCAAATCATGACCCCCAGGGGAAGGGCGGGGCCACAATGGGAAATCAAATTTTTATATAGAAATATATAGGAAAAATCTTTGAAAATCTTCTTCTCAAGAACCACTGGGCCAGAAAAGCTGAAACTTATGTGGAAGCATCCTGGTATAGTGTAGATTCTAAATTGTTCAAATCATGACCCCCGGGGGAAGGGTGGGGCCACAATGGGGAATCAAAGTTTTATATAGAAATATATAGGAAAAATCTTTGAAAATCTTCTTCTCAAGAACCACTGGGCCAGAAAAGCTGAAACTTATGTGGAAGCATCCTGGTATAGTGTAGATTCTAAATTGTTCAAATCATGACCCCCAGGGGAAGGGCGGGGCCACAATGGGGTATCAAAGTTTTACATAGAAATATATAGGAAAAATCTTTGAAAATCTTCTTCTCAAGAACCACTGGGCCAGAAAAGCTGAAACTTATGTGGAAGCATCCAGGTATAATGTAGATTCTAAATTGTTCAAATGATGACACCCGGGGGAAGGGCGGGGCCACAATGGGGAATCAAAGTTTTTATATAGAAATATATAGGAAAAATCTTTGAAAATTTTCTTCTCAAGAACCACTGGGCCAGAAAATGTGAAGCTTATGTGGAAGCATTCTGGGGTAGTGTAAATTCTAAATTGTAGGAATCATGACCCCCGGGGGAAGGGCGGGGCCATTATAGGGAATCAAAGTTTTACATAGAAATATATAGGAAAATCTTTGAAAATCTTCTTCTCAGGAACCACTGGTCCAAAAAAGCTGAAACATATGTGCCCATGGAAGGATCATGGGGTAGTGTAGATTTCAAAATGACTAAATTATGATCAGTGGGGTAGGGTGGGGATGCATTATGTATAACAAGGGTGAAATCTGGTAAAGAACAGAATGGTCAAAGCTTCTCAGGTGAGCGATGTGGCCCATGGGCCTCTTGTTTAAAATTATTTTTACAGTACCTTTGTGCACCAAATCCGAGGGTTCTTGCTGTTTTAGGATCTGGAGTTCAGGCTCGCTCTCACATTCGCGACCTGTCCTCCATTTTTTCATTCCAAAAGGTTGGTTAAAACTTAAAAATTGGCAAAAAATTATGAGAATTTTTCTTTCCAAGACTGTGATTCAGTATTTCTTTGTATATAGATAAATATCTGGAGTAGGAACCAAGAAGAATGCCGCAGCCCTGGCTAGAGGAGGTAAGTGGAAATGCTTGTGATACTGCACAGGAAGCTGTCACAGATGCAGACGTCATCGTCACAGTAACATCATCAGCAACACCCATACTGAAGAAGGAATGGGTAAAACCGGGTGGACATATCAATGGCAATTATGTTTTTGACATTTCTCAGAGAAATTATTCTGTCAGTTAAAAAAGTAATCACATTTGGAAGGCTTTAAAGCTAAGAATGAACCTTAGAGGATTCACTATGTGTGCTTATTTTTGCATATTTGTAATGCAATTCAAACTTTCTTTATAGATCAAGAACTGTTTTAGCAATAAATAATTAATGCTATTACTCATTTCAATATCATATCTATAAATTCAAAAGTACTATTATTTGTACAAATATTTTTAAAGTACATGTACAGTGCACACATTAATTTATGCGGAAAATCCTTAATCACACATTATCCTAAATTTCCTTTTTACTTTTTCAGCTGTGGGGTGCCTGTCGCCCGGACTGGCAGGAAATTGACCCGGATCTGGTGAGGGCCAGTGTTCTCTATGTAGAACAGTCGGGAGGCGGCTCAGAAGGAAAGCGGGGACGTTATTCTCTCAAAGGTCAATTTTCAATGATAAATGTTTCAAAATCATTCTGTCTTTAATTCTTATTTACGGAACATTTCTTAATGATATTAATGATTGTGCTGTAATGTCATATTACCTGACAGACAAGAAAATACAGCTGTAGTGAAAAACTATTCTTGAGAAAATCCATATTTGGAAAATTTCTTCTAGCTTGTGGGTGCTTTTACATTTTAGGCAGATATTTTCAGTGAGCTTGGAGAAATGCTATTGGGATTGAAAGAAGCTAAAGTCAAGGAAACAACATTGTTTAAATCCCTGGGTTTGTTCTCTTTTTTATCAATTTTCTTCCACTTAGCAATGCATAATGATTATAAATACACGAGCAACAGATTATAACCTAAATTCTTATTATTTATTATCAGGACTTGCCATTGAAGATGTAATGTCTGCCAAACTGGTACAGGATCTGCTGACCAAGAAATGAGGTGCCACAAAGCATGCAAAAGGACAAAAGAGATTCATAATATCAGTAGTGTTCACAAATAGTTTTGCATTTATATCTTGATCAATCAAAAAAAATTTAACATTGAATATTCCAGACAGTCAGTTACTGTTATATTAATGATACTCAGAAAATGTAATGATTGTCGGGGGGGGGGGGATGGGGGGAGAGAATGTGTGTCTGCCCAAAATACATGAAATGTATTTGTTTTGAAATATGCCATATTCATTGTTCAATATTTTAATTTTTTTACTATGATTTACATTTTTGTACAAGTCTTTCAATATTTACTGTTCCAATAAAAATATGGATCCCGGTGTCTCAGCATATACGCACATTATTCTGTTTGAAAAACTGGAATGCAAGGAAACTTAAAAAAAAAAATTTATCTCCCATCTAGTGTGTGTAGAGGCTGTTTCAAAGCAACAGGTGTGTAAACCAAATATGTCATTTTCCCCAAAACATGTTTATAGTATGTTTATCTTCTGGTATTCACCAAAACTACAATCATTAAACAAATATTTGTTTAACACTAAAAATTTTTTTCCCTTATAGATATACATTTTACTAAACTTCACCAGCAACTTTAATATGGACATATTTCACAGATAAAATTAATGTCCTATTAACACCTCTTTATACATGGAAGTTTTGTGTGAAGAATGTAAAAAAAATATTTAAAGTATATGCATTTTTGAAATGACACAAGCTCTGAAACCATTGAATCAGCAAAACTAGTCCCCCTTCTGGCAAATGTTATCTGGTTCCCATTAAAAATGTTATAATTATGTCAAAAGATCAACGAAGAATGGATGTAAAATGCAAAACTTGATTGATAACTCATAAGATTAAACTCACAAACCAAAAATCAGTTCAATATCTAGAAGAAGAAAAAAATGCGGTAAAACCCTTAAAAATTGAAAAAAGGTAATTCCACCAAAAATTGCTGAAGCCGGTATGAAATACATGGTCTCTAACCCTTTATATGATACACTCACTTACAAATAAGCAGCTCATTAGCTGCAAGAATTCAGTGGAGAAAAGTTTGGAAAATTAAGTTGGGACAGAAAGACAGATGGAGAGAAAGGATGAAACCTATGGTGCCCTGTCGTTTCACCGGTGGTGGATTAATGAATACACTATAATAATAAGAAACAGTGGGTTGGATGCCATTATTTATGGCATTTTGAGTAAAATATGAACGCTCATTCATATGTCATTCAAAAGTAATCACCAAAGTTAAATTTTCTGAATATTAGGTCAAACACGTTGGTCAAGCGGTAAAAAATCAGCATGATGGGTAACATCTTGTCACAGGCAATATACCTGTGCTATATGAAAGCACTTTCTTTTCTCTTCCCAATCAAAAGTTATAAATTTGAGAAGTATGTTTAACTTCAAGGTCAAAGGCACAGGGTGAAAAGCATAATATATTTAGAATTTATTAGATATTTATACATGTGTGATATTAGTACATTGTACTTCTAAATTTAGAACAGTTCTCAGTTAACCTTGGACTTTCAGTAAGGTGGGCATTCTCGACGTTACATAATTAGCGTCTGAAATATATGTGTACAGGTTTCATTCACTGTTGAAATATACAATGGACAGAAATTCAGGCGAATGTCAGCGAGTGTAGAAAATATCCAATAAAATGTCTCGTACGGCAAAGAGGTGGGGCACAGCCATCATCTCATCGTTGTCAACAAAAAATTAAAGTTCCTGATATTATTAATTTTTTTTATCCAATCAGAATCTATTCGCCATTTGACAGACGCTAACCACGTAGCTCCGAGAATGCCACGCTTTACTGAAAGGCCAGCGTCAACTGAGCATTGTACTAAAGCACTATCTTTTCTCTTTCAAAAGTAATGAACAATTTAGAGTAAACAATTTTGAAAAATAGGTCAAACTTCAAGGTCACGGAGTCAAAATTCACAGTACACGTACATGTGAAATATAAAAGCCCTATGTCTTTTCATTCAAAAGTTATGACCAAGGTTAAAGTTTTGGTGACAGACCGACAGAATGTCCTCTCGCTTTCGCGAAAGCGGGGGGCAAAATCTTTGACGGTCACAATACGATATTTACTACGTCATCTTCATGAATTCGCTTTTGAACACTTGTTCCTTGAATTCTGTCACTCCTTTTAAACAGTTTTTGATCGACAGAAGGTTAAAATTTCATTTATGAAAAAAGTAATAAATGCATTTACTGTCCTTTATTAAATTACATAATAAAAGAATATATGTAGCCTTAGGAGACTAGGTCTTCCAAGAAACAGAATTTCGATGGACTCTTATTGTGCTCCTTTATAAGTCTGATTTTTGTATTCCTATGTATTGAATATTTGATATATCCCAGTGAACTTGAAATTAAAGAAACCACTGAGTCTGCCTAATTTGTTCAATATTTGTATGCATTGGCGTCGTAAGCAAATTGAAAGTGGGGGGCTAAGTGTAAAAAGAAATTTCTTGTACCTTCAAAAAAAACCTAACAAGCAAAAAAAAAAAAAAAAAAAAAAAGGAAATGTCTATTTCCCAAAAACAAAAATCCGGGGGGGGGGGGGGGGGGGGGGGTAGGTTCCTAACTCCAGTACCAAAATTTTCTTCCAAGCACCACCACTTTCCCCATTTTTAACCTATACTAAGACGTATCTGTGGAAAGTGGGGGGGGGGCTAAACCTACGAAGATATGTTCAATGTCTATACTAAGTATATATTTGGAAAAAAAGTGGGGGGCTAAGCCCCCCCCTAGCCCCCCCGGTTCCGACGCCTATGGTATGCTTCACTGACTATGGAAAAAAGGGCCAACTAACAACTAAATCATATTACAAACGAGATTACTTCAGCTTTTGTGATATCTCACTATCACCTGCATATGGTCCTGTCTTATTGGATAATAATGAGCATGCTCTGAGAACGATCTCTTTTGAATTCAAGGCAGGCTACTGACATCGAATTGATGTTGCAGGGATTTTAGCAATCTTGTTTGAAGTCATCAATTCGTAATATTTACGATCGTTATAATGACCTAATTAGACTGTTAGGCTATATTACCTGTCATTGATTCGTATTCTGGCTGTCTAGTTTCATACCAAATTACCAATTGTGAAGCCTTTAGTTTTATGCTGAATTTGACTACGGGGTGTTCAAACTACATGCTAAGTACATAAGGCTCGTGGCACCGGGTGTTTACTCCTCCAAGGCACCTGATCCCATCTCTGGAGTTTCAGGAGTTCGTATTTTACGCACCTTATGCATTTGTATTACTAATAGTTTATTTTAGATCGATCACCGTTCGCTATCTTTACCACCTTCTTAAATGAATGTATTTTTATTTTGGCTTAATTACTGCATGGATTCTTTTATTTTAATTCAATGTTACGTCACCGACTCATTCAATCATTAGAACTTATATTAGTAATTTCATTGAACCAAATTAACGTGTAAGAAAGTCCCCAAGTTGCATTTTTGATATTGTATCATAATGTGATGATTACAAAGTTAACCATACGAGGGCTGTTCAATAAATAATGTCCTCGGTGCTCGGAAAGAAACAAAAAACGGTTTTCAATAATTTAGTCTTAATTATTTAACTTAAATATTCTCTTTTAGTTAAAATACACGTCCGTAACATTTTTATCCAATGTCTGATTGCTTTTAGAACTCAATTTTGAGTATGGCCCTTCGTATACTGGAATGTGACAGATCCCATGATTTCCTGGACTTGTTTATTCTTTCTGAAAGGTGTTTTTTTTTCAAGTTTGGAAA